TTTTGTGTAAATGTTATTTTTAAAATCACATCATTAACAAATATTCAAGCATTTGTAAATCACGTCACTATGAAATAATTGCTTAGAAATTTTTAAAAAAAACAAACAAATAAACATTTTATTCTTGGAAATGTATTGATAATGGATAATTTGTTTGTTTTGAAATCTGCTTCTCTCTGTGTGTGTGTGTGTGTATAAATATTCTATTTATTTGTGTTTGTTTTCCTAACTGCGAATAATACGGTACATATATTGAAATCAATTTAGAATTCCGCCCTTAATTGTGTCTTTTTTTAAAAAAAATTTATGTTTGTTAAATTGATAGTTTGTCACAATAGTTTCTAATTATTCTATGAATAAATTCACTGAACCTTTATTTTTTTCTGTGTTTAGGAAGCTTCCCCAATTCGAACATTGCATTTTCATCCATCCGGTAACTTTTTACTTGTTGGAACTCAGCATAAAACACGTAAGCTTTGTTGTGAAAATTATTTCTAACTTGATAGTGTTATAGTAATTTTAATTATGTTTGTAATTAAATTCATTAGTAGTTATCATTTAACATTTTCAGCATTCAACTCACAATTGTCTGGTTTTTCGGCATGCTCATGTGATTGGTTGCAGTCGACTTTTAACATCAGTACACAACGACCTAAACTATCGCTTAATACTCAAGCATATTTACAAATAGATAATCTATTGTAGACGCCTTCAATACAGCTTTTTATCAAGATGATAATCAATAGGAATTTACAAACTAAGAAGTTTCCTCAACTTAGAACAGTCAATTTATAAAATGACGATATCAGAATGTGTTGGTTAGGTGGTCGAAATTCTGATACTCTGAGAAAGGAATTAAAGTGTCTAGTAAACTATTCATATATGTACGTTAAAAAAACATCCAAAACTCCGTCGGATATGATGTCAGCTATCTCTCGTAACTGATTTCTCGCTTTGCATTAAATTTGACAAAAAACCGTAAAGGCTTTTCGATTTTTATTCCTCTTTTACACAGTATTAGCTTCTAAAATCTATATCAGAGCATTGAAATCGAAGAGTATTTCCTTTACTCCTAAATAACGCTTGACTACTACAATTCTCTTTTTTTATTATTCCATTTCTGCTACTACAGTTCGTTTATATGATGTGCAAACTTGCCGTTGTTATGTATCAGCCGTTCCAGAAGATCAACACCTTAGTGCAGTTAATATGGTGCGATGGTCGCCAAATGGAACCGCTTTTGTTACAGCTGGGATGGATGGCAGTTTTAAGATTTGGGATGGAGTTTCATGTAGATGTGTTAACACATTTGAAGCTGCACATGATGGTGCGCCTGTGTGTTCCGTAGTTTTTTCACGCAATGGAAAAGTATGTCAGCAAGTTTAAATATGGTTCCCTTTATACATACATTCACTGAATATTCTTATTTGGGTTAATATGAAAGTTTATTGCAGAGCGATACCTTGTGCATAAATATTAACAGAATCTAATGATTAGTATCATTAATGTATTGTAATTTGTTACATTACCGGTCCATTGGTCACTAAATACAATGCCTAATCTTTTATATTACCACTAATACTATTACTATCCCCACTGTTGTGAGATTCGCCCTGTGCTATTGAGATGTGGCAACCAGAACTGATGTATATATCTGCCAGGTTCTAAGGTGCGTTTGACTGGCTCAACTGTAGAAAAAGTTTCAATGAGTAGACTCTGTCAGCTATATATATGCGTGGTGTAAATTGGTATTTTGACATTGTAACCCGAGACAGTATGCAGCTTGTTTTTGTTACACAGAATGCTAAATCGATCTAGCCACACTGCTGAATCAGGATTTGTAGTTGGAAAATTATTATCAGTCAAAATTTGTAACAAGTATCAAATAGTTTTGTATTTTAGTCTGCTCTACACTGCCTAGTTTTAAAATCTTTTCAAGTTGAAAGCAGCATTCATTCTGGTATAATTGTATCATTTTTAATTTGAATTAAAGTAATTAAAGTGTGCATATTCTCATTTTCAGTATATTCTTAGTTCCGGTAAAGACAGTGCAGTTAAACTATGGGAATTAGCCACTGGAAGATGTCTTATAACTTACACTGGAGCAGGTACAGTAGGACATCAAACTCACAGATCAATGGCTGTTTTTAATCACACAGAAGATTATGGTAAGATGACTAATTAATATATGGTGTATTTCTCATGTTAAACTTTCAATTGTTTTTGATACTATTTAGCTTCCTAATCTTCTGATCATATTAATTTTCTTTCTGTGATGATATACCAGCTTGGACGAGCACACATTTGTGCCAGATCCTACGTTGACTACAACTTATTCTTAATATCAAAAATAAAAGAATCATGAAAATAGTAGTAAACTAAATATTGTTCATCTGCATATAAAAGTGTTGACGTTCACACGACAACAATTACTACTGTGATTTCTGTAATGTGGTGGTTGGTGCTCTATGTAACTGGCACTCATTCGCATTAGTTACTTTCTGTTGCAAAATGCCATGTATATTGTGTTTTCCATTCTATTATGTAAAAGCTATTGAGTAACTAAAATCGCAAACTACAGTTAAGCATCTGAAAGACAGATTCCAACCGATATCAACTTCATATAAATGATACTATAGTCATGTTTAACACCTACTGATAAATTTAAGACAAAATCAGTTTGAATTTTTTAGAAGAAATAAGTCATTTAAAGTGGTTTTATTAGCGCCTATTTGTGTGTAGGCTCATTTGTATTATCTGAATATGACTACTAACGCACTTATTTATTTAAAATTATTAATACTTTTCTTTGTATAGTACTCTTCCCAGACGAAGCAACAAAAAGCCTGTGTTGTTGGGATTCACGTAATGCTGATAGGCAGCGTTTATTAGCCCTCAGTAAGTTTATACGCATTGAAAATATAGTTTTGATTACAATTTTCCAAAAAAAATCACTACGTTAACTATTCATCCATTTTTAATTGATTTGCCTTTACGGCAGATGGATGTTTTAAAACTATAGAATAAATCTCTGAGCATACACCAAATATGTCATTACTGTTTTGCCTGTTAAATTGTAATGAAATGAACATGAATAGTTTATTTGCCTAAAGACCAATTTATTTATGTAATTCTATTTTTTTTCTAATTACCCTGTATCATTATTGATTAAATGCTTTTGCCTAACTCTTTTATCTGTCATAGATCATAACGGACCAATCAGATGTTTTGTACATTCACCTACAACAGCAGCATTTATGTCTTGTAGTGATGATAATCGTGCAAGATTTTGGTATAAACGTCCTATATCAGATTGAAATTATTGTAATATAACATTGTTGAATATATAGACATTGTTTTATTTTGTACAAACTAAATTGTTTTTTTTTGTCGCTCATTGTTTAGAAATAAAAATAAAACATTGTTAATGATCATTAAGCTAATAATTTATTCAAATTTCAGATAGATATGCTTTTACATCACTGACAATAGCTGGCAAATAAATAAATGACTACAAGTAAACAATTGAATTCGTGATTAATCCAATCTACTTTAAGCTAAACAGTCAAATGAAAAAAATATTAAATAATCTGTTTATTTTCAAAGTTAACCAGCTTGTCGAGTAATTTTTCTTGTTGATTTAACATTCAAAGGTAAATTGTATTTTTTCCATACCGTACATAAAGAATCTACAAGTTCTTCAGTTAGTTTATCTGTATGATGTGGTGTAGGTGCAATACGTAAACGTTCATCTCCTATGTCAACAGTTGGATAATTTATCGATTGCACATATATATGATGTTCAGATAATAGTTCTTCTGATATTTTAGTACATAGTTTTGCTTCACCAACCTAATAACAAGATAGATGAATTAGAAAATTTATTCACAATAGTTTAAGAAATAAATAATTAGAATTTTATACAAATTATTATCAAATTTACTGTCGTTTAAATTAACTATCAGTTGATGAATTGAGTTCTTTTGTTTTCAGCAAGAATTAGATAACATAAAAACGACTATCCCACTTTTCACATTTGAAATCATCATTCAATCATTGTTAGATCGCTGTTAGAAACCTGGAAGCACTGGATAGCCGTTTCGTCCTGGTATGAGACTCATCAGCCATTCGCATCCACGACTCCTGCTACTCCTTAGAGGGATTAGGAATAGAAGCTATTGCCAAGCAGATAATTTCACGTGCCTAAAATTCTTACTTTTCTAGTTTTGATTTGAGTTGGTAAGTAACTTAATTGATTAACAAACTCAGATATTATCATTAATTCGACCAAAGTATTGATGAAACATAGAAATTCTCACATCTAAAGAATAAATAACATACATGTAGCGGAATGATATGTGACGGCGCTTCAATCACAGGTAGCCCTGCTTGACGGAGACTTTCGCGTACAATAGATACTCGTTTTTGATGTTCTGCACGAAGTTCTCTTCCTTCAGAAGATCTTAAAATTTGAATACTTGTTCGTGCAGCAGCCAAGGAATGTGGTGGTAATGAAGTAGTAAATATAAATCCAGAAGCATAAGATCGGACCATATCAACTAGTTCAGAACTTCCTACTAAATAACCTCCGATACTAGCAAAAGCCTGAGAGTAGAAAATAAAACAAACAATATTCAAAAAACTATATACAAACATGTTGATGTAGAACGAGTCAACTTAGAACATCTATGTAAAACGATAAGATTTATTAGCATATGACAATGCCTATCGGTAAGGATAACCTTTTGATTTATTGTTGTCATATGTTTTCACTACCAATCAGTTCATGATGAATTAAACATTAAATAAAAAAGGCGATCTTTCAATTAGAGTTATGTAGATTATTGTTTTTACACGTTGAAATCATCAATCAATCGTTGTTAGACCACCATTAGAAACCCGGAAGCACTGGATGGCCGTCTCGTCCTGGTATGGGACTTAACAGCAGTGCGCATCCACGACTCCTGCACCCGACAGGATTCGAACCCAGAACCTTCGGTCTTGTGCGCGAACGCCTAACCTCTGAATCACTTGGTCGGCATCCAACGGTGTTAATGTCTAACTCTGATCAATCTACAGATTTTACTCAACCTCACCCATTTGTCTTTGATAGTTACTGCCTACACAGGACAGGATTGAACTCCACTGGTCACGTCTTCTCACTAAAACTCCGGGAATTTCCTCACGAAGCTAGTCTCTATTGAGCACATTTTACGATTTTCCATCTAGAGTTATGGAGATTAGTGTTTGTTGCACATTAAAATCATCAACCAATCATTTTTGTTCTATAATTTAAATGGTAAAAAAGACAACACAATGAACTAGTTATTAGTGACATAAGATTTTTCATGACTTATGCAGTGTTTTTACACGACTAATATGCATTACCCAATCTATGGATGGTATGTATATGCATACAATCTCGTCAATACTATCATATAACATATACTGGACAATTTAATCTACCAGCTTTCTCCCAGTACAAATTTAATATTTGAGTTTATACTCAACTATTGGTTAATATTCAATACAATGAACAAACCTTTCCAAGTGTGCCCGTAATTGCATCGATTCTATGCATCTGACCATCACGTTCAGCAACTCCAGCTCCATGTGTACCGTATAAACCAACAGCATGCACTTCATCAACAAATGAGAGTGCATTATTAGCTTCAGCAACATCTAATAAATTCTTCAGTGGACAAACATCACCTATGATTATGAAAATAAATCGTTTTTATACAATTAAATATTAGTCTTTAGCTGAGTGAAAATTCACTCAACAAATTGATATTCAGTAACAATGAAACCAATGTTAAAACATTGCAGTCGTAAATAACTACGTTTTCATAGGTCGTACTGGAATTTCCTATCAATGAACCTTTCATAGGTGATTAGCACTCTTTTCTACTGGCTTTCTGAAAATTATGATGAGCAATAGTTAGTTACTTAAAGTCAGGATCCAAGCTGATATTTGCCAGCGAGGCTATATTTTTGAAGTCAGCTCTAGATATTCAATTAAAAACGAAAAAATCTTAAACGCTTTTCAGGAATACCAGCTACCATTACCTACGGATATACCGAGAAATGATCCGATTGAAAAGTCCTACGTACTATGCAGGATGATTTTCGAATCAACCGCTTCTCAACACTCAGTGGTATACCTGTTTGAATGTTATAGGGAATCTCTCGTTTCTGGATGATGTTTGATATGAATATTAAAAACGTCAAGTAATAAATGATACATAAATTAGGTTAGCATCCACGTGAACCCTCACTGACTGGGATAGATGCGACACGTACATATTTTTCCATTAATTACCTGAACAAGGCATAGGAGTAGTGTAGATAATATTTAAATGATTTCATCTAAAGTCAACATGAGTTTTTAAAGATTTTATTGATGGTTTGGACCATATGAGAAGACTTTGAGTTTATTGGTTGGACTCCATGACGCAGCTTTAGTCAGATTAAGAACATATAGTACCTTAAAATTGATCAGTGTCACAAATAAATTTGTTCTCCAACTTACTATGAGAAGCAGACACCTATTTGTCTTAGAATCTCGATTTTCGTGTGTCAAACTTTCTTTGGTTGTCCTATCTTACTATTACAGAAAATCTTTTGTTATTTTAACTCATGGAGTGATGGGCCTGGTCAAAGAGTTGTATATCGAAACCTTGCGCATCATCTACTCTGGCTTAAGAAACCTAACAGTAGCACCATTGATACAAAAAGTTTATGTTAAAACCGAGTATACAGCATTTTACATGATAAGTGAGTTACATCAAGTATCAGAATTCGGAAATGATGTACTTCTTCGCGTAATCTTTTTCTTTCGTATCTGCGAATCAACGAGCCTATTACTGAAACATTGGAGCACTTACGGGTACGTGAGTCTAGTAAAATGTAGATATTTCTACTGCTTTTATGTGTAGTCTACCGTTACAGAATAATCAGTTTGAACAAAAATACTGTCAACGTTTCTTAAAGAAACATGTTGTAGTTAGTCTGTACTTAACAGCAGTTATTTAGGTCTTCAGGATTCCTCTAGTTAACCATTGGAAGACCATGTTAAACAAAACACTTTATTCAAGATATTCTGTTTTAAATTGAGTTTAAAGTGATTCTTTTTTCTTTCACTGATACTAAAACAAGGGTTCAAAAAGATATTAGTAAACCACTATCATTTAAAAGTATAAACACAAGATTATGACTAACAGAGTCACAGGCGTATTTATGGATGAGTAAATTGACGAAAAAACTTAAGTGAAGTACGATTTTAACACCGTTGGATGTCAAGAGGTTAACGTTCGCATGTGAGACCTAAAGTTCTGGGTTCGGTTTCAGCTTGTGGGGTCGTGGGTGCACACTTATGAGTTTCATACTAAATCGAAACGGCTATCCAGTGCCTCTGGTTTTTCAACGGTGTTCTAACATTGATCGATTCATTATTTCAAGGAAACTCAACAATCTCCACAACTCTGT